CAAATAACTGAGGTCAGATGTAACGGGGACACGAAAATGTCACGCTTATGGAATCCCTAATTTCTGGCATTACCCAGAGAGATTTCAAAGGGCTCCCTGGCAAAGAACCGAATCATTGGGTAACTTCACTGGACGGACCTGCTTATCCTCGGGCTAGAGAAGGAGGTGACAGAACGTTGTTGTACTGGAGAGCAACCAAAAATGGTCATGGAACAGACCAGAGTCCTCGCAAGAATCGCGACGTACGACAAACGAACCAGTATTGGATTTCAGTGAACTTTGGTTTCAGAAGCACATCGGGACTGTTGCAAAATGTTGCAATGTGTGATCAATGGTTTATTGGGGGATTTAGAATGTGGTCAGTTTCCGCTAGAATTTCGAGAATTTTGCAGAAAAAGTGGGCGTTTGGGAAAACTCCAGGGACAGCCCCACAGTTGGTTTGCAGGAAATGGCACTCCCATGACATTAGATACCGTACGTGACTGCCTTTGAAGTGACTACGCACGCAATGCACGTGCATCCCGTGGTCTATTTGACGTGTGTGGGTAATACAGTAGCCAACTCAAATAACACCATATGATTTCAAATCTGGCGGAAATAGTGGCTTCCTGGTCCATTTGACGTGTGTGGGTAACACAGTAGCCAACTCAAATAACACCATATGATTTCAAATCTGGCGGAAATAGTGGCTTCCTTATGGTAAATAAATGGGCTATTCACAAGCATGCCTCCAAGAGTTTGCAACGCGTTGGCTACGTACTACGTGCAAAATCTGTTGACCCTTTCCAAACGTGCATTGGGATGACATTTTTCGCGCATCGCGATTTGCCAATGCGCTGCAAACTCTAAGAGGCACACTATCGTGAACTGCCTGTATTCACGCACAAAAGCATGTGCATCCTGTATCCGTCACAGGATTTCACCTGCCAAAGTTCAACAAACTTTCCAAAAACAAAATTTCTTCTTTTTCTGCCTCCTCCTCTGATTCAAAATTTGACCAATTCTCAAATATTCAGACACATGTATTTCTTGTAAATAATCGTAAGTGCAATTTTAATACAGAAAAAAAAGGAAGGAAAAAGAAATTAATCCTCCTAATTTCAATTACCGACTAATCCTAAGCTATCAGTTCTGTAATGATTATAACCTGTTATTACTTTGTGTATCCAAAAAAGCATTGCTTTTCTTCAGACTCTTGCTTTTTTTTATCTTACTCTCGGTCACTCTCCGCATGGACTTTTGTACAATGGCAACGCAATGCACGTTCATAGCTGGCATTTGCCAGCACTTCTCAAAAACGTACATGTACATTTACAACACTTGGATGCAATATTTACCAAGCACTTCCTGTCATCATTTGCAGATGTGTTGCCGGTAGCTTCTATTAACACGCAATTCTTCTGACCGTTATAGGGTATTATAACAATAATAAAGTTCATGTATTTTAACAAAAAGTTGTACGAAATGTATATCCATGTACATGTAGGTACTGCTCTTGTGACATCTTGCGTTGGTGAAGGCAAACATCACTTACAACAGACTACGTGTACACCACAAATATCTTGGTGAATAAAATTCAAGGTCTGCTATCAAACTTTACAACTACGCAATTTATGATTCAAAATTTCCACACTATCTCATATGTGGGCAACGTTGACCAGCTCCTGGGATAACTATCATTGCAGCATTTTTGGGTAGCTCAGGGCTGAAAGATGGGGTAGGTCTGCCAACCACTGACTGACAACATGAACATCAAATCCATAAGCTGCATTTCATTTAACATTTATTTATGAAATGAACTTTGAAACTTCTTGTGGTGAAGCTGGCAAATTTATCAATCAATTAATTTTGATTAAGCAACAAGAATCAGTAAATATAAATCAGAAAGCAATCCGTAAACATGCGTGAAATGTTGAGTGCTGTAAGTGTTTTAAAAAACCCGACACGCAAGCAAACACGTGCAAATCACCAGTAGCACAGGTAATTCTCAATACAGTGCACCACTAAGAGGATGCAAAGAAAGGTCCCTTTTTGGCTGTCCACTGAGAGAAACGGTTGTGCAAGGCCAACTTGATCAATTTCCAATTCTTTTGTGTATTTCGAGTAGCCCCTTTAATTAATACTTTCTTTCTACTGAATGGAATGTTCCGATCTTTCAACAATTTTCCCAAGTTGTCTACTGACAAGCTCAAATGCTTTTAATTTGATTGTGGCAAGGTGGCCAGGCTTTTGTCAAACTTTATCGAACTTGAAAAAAAAAACGGTCTCTCACTGCTAACCTCTTGGTGGTGCACTGTACGTGTATTGTGAATCACCTCTATTACAGAGGTACCATAATTAAAACTGACTATTGTCCATTATTTGCATCATAATCTTAGACTTAAAGGAGTTCTCAAGAGGATAATCATGATGTAAGAAGTAGTGGGAAGTGGTTTTAAATTTAAATAAATAAATAAATAAAAAATGATAACAACAAACCCCTTGCTTTCTTCCTAATAGGTTGATTTCAAACGGCATCCTTTGGATCACCTCGTGCATCCCCTCGCACTAACGAGTTAAACTTGGGGATCGCACTACGACTTGATTGGAGTCCATTTAAGACCATGGGATCCTGCATTAGAGTAGGCACGGTCCATCAGGAGAAGCTCTCTTTGTCATGATTTTTTCAAAGCTGGGTTATTGATGGTATTTGTAGAGAGTGTTGTTGGGCTGAGCCTATTGGAGATCGGGGGCCCCTAGTGAGGTGCAGCATCCGTCGAAATGCCCGGTTGAACTGCGGGTGCCTGAAGCCGTAGAGGATCGGGTGGACAAAGGAGTGCATCAGGAAGACCAAGGAGGAGAACAGGACGACTCTGTGGTGATCGGGGAGAACCAAGGCGATGCCGTATGGCAGATTGAGCAGGAAGACGACGCAGACGTTGATGAAGAGGTTCAGCGTGATGTGGAGTTCCTGCCGCTTGACGTGCGACTTGCGGGATTCGCGCCCAGCCCCCCAGCTGAAATCACAGGGCTGGCTCGGTGCTGCAGCACATTGCTTTTTCTGGTGTCTGAAATTGTGTTGTATGGTGACAAAGATGACTACGTAAGAAACAATGATGCTTACAATGGGAATAGGGTAAAAGACCATGGTCAAAGCAAGTTGGTATCCATGTCCATTCTGATCTCTACCGACAAATGAGCATGTGTGATCATTCTCGTCGTAACCAACAGTGCCGACACTGAGGAGGGGTGGTATCAGTACAGTGAGAAAAGGGAGTACCCAGGCAACTGTTACCATGACAGCAACCTTAGCTGGTGTCCACCATTCTTGGTATGTACTGGGCGAGGCCACAATGATGAGCACACGGTTGATGGCGATCCCAGCAAGGCTGTATAAGTTGGCCCCAAAGCTGATGATCAGGCAGTGCCCAGCGAGTTGGCAGGGCACCTCGGTGGTCAGTGGCCAGCCCTCTGAGCTCAGAAGACCCACCACACTCCACGGCAACGACAGACCAGTCATCAGGTTGGCCACGCTCAGGCAGACCACAAAGGCATTGTCCCTGGTCTGGAGGCTTTTGGACCGCGTCACGGCCACGATGAGCCCTCCATTGCCGCCAATGGACAGAATCAATATCACCAAGTACATGACACTAACACCCACCCTCTCGCTAGTGCTGAGGACCATGGTACCAGGGGTGGAATTCCCAAGGTCAGAGAAATTGGTTGTGTTGTCCATTGTCAAAAATCAACCGGTGTGTGGCAGAAGTCGAGTTTTTCTCTCCAAACAACTGTACACTGTCAACAGCAAACTTCTGTGTGACAGCCTACCGGTGCGTGTCGATTGTTCCAACAGTCTCTGTTAAAATGTCGAATTTGGTACAGCCGAGAGACAAACGTATGCAGTGATTAAGTTTGCTTCTCCACGAAACACTTTCTACATGTAAATATTCAGCCAGAATAAAATCCAAGAGTAACTTTCTTTTCAAGAATTGAGCACTTTGCACAATGCACAGGTCGTAAAGCAATGATGATGTGCTTGCAGTCCGCATGTGTGCAACTGGGAACTTTCTGACGGCCAACGTAAATTCAATAGTCTACAATGGTTACGTGTTCGTGTACCTCTTTTATAGGGTTTTTATATCTACCAGACTTTATTGGGCGAATTGGAAGTGACGCAGTAATGAAGTGGTTGTTGCTTCTGGTGTAGTGATCCACTAAAACAAAAAGGGGACAAACCAAATAATGTTTAAGGCCTTTTCCTGGAAACCTGATTTTTGTTGTCGTCGTTGAGCTTTTCAGCGATGAGGAAGTAGAACTACCCTGTTTGGGTCAACTTTGGTAAAACTGACGGCTCTTTCATGAGGACTTTTACAACCAGTGATATCCTTTGGAAAGTGAACACAACAACATCTGCCTGTGTTCATCAAGGCTCCACTTGCACAGAGCTGCTCGTGATGAGGCACACCAAGGAGGCGTGGCAAGGACACCTCAAACAGCACCTTGTGTTGTACTGTTATGTAAGAACAAACTGCACACAACACCTTATTGTGCACGAGAAACAGCGTACAGTAGGTAACGTGTCAGTGAACACAATCTTCAGAGTCTTAAGAGGAAGGTTGCGATCAAGGTTATGACCATACAAAAATGACATGTACTCGTCTAGGGACGGAAGGAATCAGGAGATGTGCGACACATTTAAACCTCGCTAGTAAGAGCAGCATTAATAAGACATTCTGCTTGTGACAAGGAAAGATCCTGCCAAGTCTGAAGGACCTCTTTGTTAACGAGGTTCACCTGTGTGCATGTACAAATAACATAACAGGAAAAATGCTGTGCTCGTCCAACTCCCCTCGCATCGCAATGCCTGCAATGAAATGCACTTGGCCACATGTCTGTTTGTCTGTCGGGCTGTCTGTCTGTGTCTGTGTGTTGTGTCAACAGGAGTCACGCCAATCCTGGTTGGTAATTTATGAGGCACCTGGCCCGTGTTCCTACCTCCAATAATTATGCATCCTTGGACCCATTAAACATACCTGCCATCCCCTACAAGATAATAAATTAATGCTACTGGGCAATAAATGCAATCCCCAAGTGAGCAAAGATGACCTACATACAGTTGTCAGCAGCATTGCTACCGTAATTTAAAATATCTGTTTCTAATATATGAGAAAATTTGAACCAAACAGCAAAAAACATAAACAACATTTTGCTGACAAACAACAAAATGTCTAGTGGGTGAAAGGTATTTCAACTGAACGTGATGCACGTGTAGCTTAAGCTTCACCAAATAAATTTGTAATTTGTACCAGGATACAAGTGTAAAATTTCAGTCACTGAATTCCAATATTTTTTTAAAGGGAAACTTTTGAGCTGAACCAAATTCCTGCTAACGATTATGATAACCACAAGGTTGCCCTGGTAGTGATACTAGTTCTAAGCTGCCACTTCTTGACAATTTCGTTGGAAATTTGTCACAAAATATACCCCTTCCAATGAAATCCTGAGATTGATGTGCTGTCTTGTGCAAATAAAGGCTGAAATGCCAACGCATCCCCATCATGCAACGAACAGTCGATGAGCCTATGCGGTGTGTACATGTGCTGTACACTCATGTGCATCGGTGCACATTCTTTGCCATGCTCTGCATATGTGGTGCTGCGTGCAGTGCTCCGCCAAGCTCACTTTCTGCATGATGCATGCCGGTATTTGTGATGGGGCGCAGTGATAAGGCCACACATAAATTTGGTCTTGTTTCTGCCAACCACGTCCTCTTTTTTAAACATCAGCCCGGATTTGACTTTTAATCTCACAATAAATCCTACCAGGCTTCCAACAGTGTCTTTGAGACAGGTACACCATGTCAAATGAATGACAAGAATGTTTATCTCCTGAGGTATTGCTTAATGAACATGGCCACGATTTCATATTACCTCCAAATGGAATTTTAAAAAAATATCTACACATAAAAATAACAAAATAAGGTTTAAAGGAACTACACATGTAGATAAGAGACAAGGAACAAAGTAAAATATTTATTTTTAAAGGTGCTTGCAGAGTGTGACTTGATGCTAGTATTAAATTTTAGTAATAATAAAAATAACTATAATGGATCAAGGTTGAAATGTTAGTTTTTAATGAAAATTAAGATTCCAATTACCTGTAGCATTCATGTTGATTTTAGCAGCAATATTACCCATTCGTACATTCAGTATTTCCACCATACTTGTGTTAATTTATACGTCTTTCTTGAGTGATAGAACTGAAATGAGAGAACCCAAGCTTGCAAACCCAGTCTACGAAACCATTGTAGAACCGAGATCAGATTGTTTCTGTTTACGGCTACACCTTGGGATTATCAAGCAGGTGACCAGTTTAAAAACTCTGCTGTGGGTTCAAACACTGCCCAAGGAACAGGGTGCTTGCTCCGTGGCTTATAGATGTAGCCGACAAGCAGAAGCTACATGAACTCTCAAGTCTCGGCGCTCTTCACACGAAATTAACTCCTGCCACAAGAGGAGAAAAGCCCGTCAAGCAGCGGGGCTGATTGAGAGCTAGCCACCCAGGCCACCCAAGGCCTCTGCCTGCTATGAGTCACCTGTTAACCGCTCGCATAATTGGAAATTACTCCACCGTTTTCCAACCGCGAGGATGGACAGACGGACTGTGGCTTGCAGGCGTTTGGCAAGGGAGAGAGCTAGAGAGAGACACAGTGACGAGATTGTGGATTGATACATATTGGATGTAGCTTTGTCCAGCGGTGACATATCAACCAGACTGGTGTATAATTGACTGCGACGCAAGTGAATTATCATATCGAGGTTGCATCCTGAAATGTGCCGGTGCTGGGTGTCTTGGAAACCATTTCTTTTCCTTAAATTCCCATCTGCTGAGTGTTACATGTAAACTATGACACTGTATCACAGGAATCAGGTGTCATGGCAGTGTCATTTCAAATAAATGAAACACAAGTACCGGTATATCTGGAATTCTGGATCCATCTAATATATTATTAGCAAGCACAAACATAAAGGACTATCCGTTAATTAACAGATCAAAATATTTCCTTCTGGTACTCCTGAAAGAGATCAGTTAAAATACCAGTTAACAGGAGATCATTTGCCACTGCATGTGTGAATGTGTTACACAACAAAACAGAGGCAGTATTCATTTCAGCATGTACAGTGCACTTCGCGCTTTGCGTAACACCCAGTTAAAAAGTAAACCTTTCACTGCGCTGAATTTGGCATGTTTGTGAATGACAAACTGGGACTTCTTAAATTTTTTTCCCCTACTAATCACAGGACTTGAAGCAAAATAACCCTTGCTGGTCTCCCACAGGGTACAGTGTAGCAACCAATACCAAGAAAAGATTCAAATTACTAATAAGGCTTAGAATTCTGTTCCTGCCTCCCCTCCCCCAAATATCCCCAAACCCCTGAGCAAACGAAAACAGGAGAAAAGGTACGAGTACGGAGAGGATTTTTCCGGACTGGGGACCTGTGTAACTGTACAACAATGCCTGCACAGTGCAAACCTCAAGGGGTCACTGTGTGACCTAGATTTGCAAATAATCTCTGTCTAACTGGACATACCGTACACGCGTGTGGATTATTTGAGAGTGGAGGTACAAGGCCGTACACTGGTGTGGATTTACATGGAGCGCAGATTCTCGGTGCGTGCTGAGTTGGATTCCAGGTGCAAGCTAATAAACAGAGACACCGTTGGTTTTTTTTTCTCTTTCTTTTTAACAAACCAGCTTAGCGCACTTCATTACATTACATAGGTCTAAATTACACGCTGTGAGTACTGTGTGTTGGATTAATTACCCTGTCGTTTCCCATCCCATCAATTTACAAACAACAGAGTTTGTGGAAATTTGATGGGTTGAGTTCTGTGTACATATGAAACTTACTACACAAAATGTTGGGTTCTGACAGGATGAGTACTGTACAGATGCAGTAGCAGTATTGGGTTTTGACTGAATGGGGATGGTTGGTATTACCCAGTACTTGCTGCTGGGTGTTTGATAAATAATGCTGCTGGTATGTGTGTGCCTGTAAACAGCGGAGGTCATTGGGTCATGTACATGTACCTACAAGTACAGCACACGTATACTTACATGTACACATAGGCCTACATGCAAGGAGCAGAATAAATTGCTTCAGTGTGTTTGGTGACCTTGCTTTTTTTTTAAAAAGAAGTCAAAGATAAAAACAAAGAAATTTGAGCCTCCCCCAACAAAGACAATTTTATGTAGCCCTGCAGTTGTTGGATCTTGAAGGGATGAGTACACAGTGTCCCCATTCCTTATCCATGGTATATGACCTAGTATCCCCACTCAGCCGAAACCCAACAGTTTACTGCCTGTTGGAGTTTGTTGGACTGAGTTCTGATACAGCAAAGTGGACTGTTGGAATCCGGTGGATTGAGTACCGATTCATATACCCCACCCAGTGGTGAAAGGGTGTTAGAATCTGACGGGTTGAGTCAGAAAAAAAATGCCGCGGGGGTAACGGTTAACAAATCCTTTTGGAAGGGCCACTCTTCGTTTTTCACGTCTTGCGCCAGCTGAAGAAAGCAAGCCAGGGCATCCCAGTTCCAGGTGTTACGCTGCACAAATCAGGTTTTAGTCTCAACGGAGTAGACAGAGCATGGGGATGAAATTCAAATAAACACCCTTGACTCCCAGGGTACCCCCATCTTCTGCTGCTCCCAGACTTGCCCTGAACGTACTGGAATGTGTCCTACATGCCTGCTTAAAGCGGTGCGAGATGTCCCCTCATCAAACCAGACCTGCCTGGGAGAAAAGCCCTTGAAATACCAAGCCCTAGACATTAATTTGCACTCGCCCCCGTCTGAACATCCAGACTTCCCAACTACAACTGTACCCCACAAAGTGTTTTGGCACAGTTCCGACCCCCATCAAACCCTGTTGTCATGATCTCAATGAGGCCTTTCTCCTCTAGACCATTGAAATGGCTCTCAGCACCCAGCCTGGCCCTCCTTGAAGCGTGAATCTCCGGGTGTACGTGCAGTGCACCAGATGTTTAGGCCAACCTTTCCTGTGACAGGAGGGCCCATCAGACATGCCCCAGGTTGGTTTGATGGCCCTGTCACAACATGACACCCCATAAAGAGACAGTCTCTTAGGATCACCCTCACCTATATGTGTGGTCATGAACTGCTGACAGCTCCAAGCCTTTAACTTAGTAACCCCCCCCAACAAAAACATACTTTTCCTATAGTTGTGGGGATAAACTCACTAGTCTTTACACTATTTTTGTGGGGTCTGGGGCTGATTTCACAAAACTCATCTTATCTTGCAACTTATCTTAGGGCTTAAAAGGAGTCCCAACTCTAAGATTAATCTTTGCTATGAAGGGTTCCAAGATCGGTTTCACCAAACCCATCTTAAGAAAGATGGGTCACAACTAGAAATTTGGTGGCTGTTTCATGTTTTTTGTACCCTTACACGAAAAGTCGTAGAAAATAAAGGGAAAGCCAAAATACGAACGTATGGCAGAACAGTTGACTCATGTATGGTTCAAATCATTTTGATAATTCCATTTTAAAAAGACGAACAGGTTTCCTGTACCGTTATTTTTTTAGCATTTTGCTTTAATTAAAACTACCTAATTGCAAAGGACAACACTTTTCAAGTCTGTCTCTTCAGCTAGTTTTCACCCACAAAGCAGTTACATTTATAGCTCTAGGACAGTACTTGTCTTTCACTTCGACAATTACTGCACGCATTAAATTAATGAGATTGGACACCTCAGACCACTCTTGAGTTAGGAAGAGTTCCTGAAGAAGTTACAGCTTGTTGAAAGCGTCCTTAAGTTTAGTGAAATTGATTCTAAGACGAGTTGTAAGATAAGACAAGTTACCCTTCTCAAGACACGTCTTAGCATTCATGAAATCGCCCTCTGGAGAAACGGGAATGGAAAAAAGAGCAGAGCAATGTCCCCAGGAAATTGTCCCCTCTTAACGCAGTTAGGGCCTGCCCACATCTATGGTACATGTACGTGTACATTGCGTATGGACTGAGTTGGTAAGGTACATGTAGAGAACGGTACTGTTGGCTACAGATAAAGGCTTCGTGCACCTACTTGCAAATGGCAAAGGGCACATTTTGACCAACTTTCATCATAATGCGCACAACAGGTCCATGTGAGAGGAACGCACCATTAAAAATGGACACCAAACTCTACTTGGTGACAGACAAGTTCCTGTATTAAATAAATGTACAACCACTATCATGAGTAAACCTATTACAAAGACACCCTTGTGAACTGAGATTGATGCTCAGTACTTCTTAGCATGTTAAACTGTCCCAAAATGCAGCACTTTTCATTCTTAGGTTTTAATTCAATACGGGCGATTCACAATAGTGCGCCACCAAGAGTTTGCAACACATTGGCCAATCATAACGCGCGAAATTTGTCCACCCTTTCCAAACGCGCATTGGGTCGACAAATTTCGCACATTGTGATTGGCCAATGCGTGGCAAACTCTTGGTGGCGCACTATTGTGAAACGGCCATATTCACTGATTTCAAAATGCCAGTGGCTGTGGCCAGACATTTGGGACATCTTCACCAATGGTCTGGAGTCCAGTTTCTGTGCTCCTTGACTACAAGTGATCTCTCCCAAGCCCTGCAAGGCCTTACCCAAATCAGGGTTCACCGGTTCAGCTGAAGGAACATGACCATTTCAAGGCAATGGCCCGATTCCCCCCCCCCCACCACACACCACTTCAGGACATCCATGTAAGCAATACCAATAAATGTCAAATTGGGCTGTTATCATTCAGTCAATTAAGCCATGTCCCTGCTGTTTACCACTCCATGGCAAACAAAGTGGCTTTCCGCCAAGGTTAGCAGTTCATTCAGAAGTCACAAAAACACTGGTGAAATGTCTACTGATGGAACAAACACAACAGCACCCACAACAACATGCATCCTCTATGCCTGGGACTTTTTTACTGACTACGAAAACGGAAGGGGAGGAGCTCTACTATTTTCAATAAGCCTTTTGCGAGTTAAATGTGAATAAAATTGGGTACACTGAGTTATCTGCTTGCACTTACATATTAACAATTTGAATTCCCCAGACTTAAGACACTGTTGCTGTATCTGGTGATTCGGGGCAAGCATTTTGCATGGCGACCACCATCTCTGGTATGGACTGGTTCCTCTGTGCCCTTCTTATCCATTGAAAACAGTGTACTGGGTGCAAGGCCTCCCTTAAAGCAAAGGCTTGCCTGAATCACGAGGTATAGCAACAGCGTCTTTAGTATGGAGAATTCAAATTGTTACGTTCATGTGAATCTAAAGAAATCAGTGTACCAGATTTTTTTTCAAATGTAACTCAAAAAAGGCTTAGGGAAGAGGGAGAGGTTGGGATGTGTGTTCCACTAATGCAAAGAACACTGTTTATGTTCTTTTGTAAATACCCTAAATGAAAATATGAAAAATTGATTGAGAATATTGACAATGTGATCGCTGCTTGCACACACAGAACAAAGCCCTGGTTTGTTAATCCTAAATTGGAATCTACCAGAAGGCGTAGCCCCACTTACAAGCACCCCAACCCCACCCACAAGCATCTCAACCCCACCCACAAGCACCTCAACACGTCCACATTTTACTTACTGGAAAGAAGGTGGTCGTGAATCGCCGATGCCGCCCGTCCGTTCCATGGGAGGCTGCATGTCCGTGGGCGCTTCACTGTGGCTTTGCGATGCTGTGTCCGAGGGCGCTCCTGTGCTGCCATCGGCGGGCACGAGCTACAGACAGAAACAAAATATTCCAGAGAAAATCATAGAAAAATTTCCCCAAATTGGATACTTCTGGACCTTCTACAACTGCATGACTGCATGACAATAAGCCATATCAACAATCGCCTTGAAACACCTCACTGCATAAACTCTTCACACATCTGTTCAAGTGTGCGTACAGAAGAGCCTCTAAACCCTTCGTCAACAGTCTGTCCAATGAATTTACGTGCTTTCAATTTTGAGTGCCTTCAATTCTTGAAGACCTGTTTTTCAACTATGACTTGGACAGGAGAAAAGATTTAACCAGACATCTTATGGACAGAAAAAAACTTCAAACTATGAAAAAAAGCCAAATAAACTGGATGTGCACAAAATTACACCAAATTCTGTTATTTTGATTTGATGTTTATTTTTCATATCCAAAAAGGGGATAGGGGAACTATCACTCTGTGCGGAAGCAAAGAGGACGTGTTGTTTTAAATGAAAGTGATGCTCCTTCGGTAGGAACTCACCGCATAGGCGCGCAAGTATATGAGTGTTTTGGCACGGGGCACGCTAAGTATGCGCAACGAAGTCATACCAGAATGTACACATATGGTCTTCACGTCTGCGCTGGACGTGTGCAGTAACCTGGTTAGAAAACTTCTTACCAACCTGTCTTTCTTTAGCTGTTGAGGGTGCACTCCAACCATCGTGGGACGAATTGCAATGAATAAAAAAAAATTTAATGAGCATCTATCGAGCAAGTGTTGTAACTATTGGCCTATTAAACATAAACGTTAGGCATTTTAACCCTAACCCCTTGGCCCTTTTCAGATACAACCTCAATCCTTCAAAATCTTCCAACTGCCCCCACGAAGAAAATTGGATCCTCCACATTCCTCCGATATTTCTCTACTACATTACGTGGAGGGGCGCCCGCTGCCTCACCCCTTCAACACCCTCCGGCAATTCTCTCATCATGTTGAGGCAGTGTGAATGGCATCCTACAGCAGTATGGAGGGTGTCACATACAAAAGGGGTGGGCATGAATGTATGCATGACTGAATATAAACAACACGAGGTCTAACCCACAACCTTGAGACTGTGCATCCTTCGCAAGCTGCAATGCAAGTTTGCCACGCAGCCACAATCCTCTGACATCCTCCAGAACTGCCAGGAGCACTGGGCAGGAATTCGGATGGTTAGGGCTTTAACTTACTCTCTCAGCTGTTTATGAAAAAGCCTTAATGAGTACACACTGTAACAACAATGGGACTACTAGTAGCCTACCAGCATTGCTACACAATCAATCATAAAAAAAAGCTGGAACAACAAGAGAACGTAGCCACAGAATTTTTCAAAGACTCACTTGTCACCTTTCAATTAAACAAAATCACCGCGCTTCAATAAAAACTTCAGCACGACCTGCTTTGACGTCACGGCTAAACGCTTCCCAAACTAGGGTCGACGGCTTCCACCTCACAAAAATGACAGTTCGGCATGTGACGTCCTTGCGCGCCCTATTTAGCATGCTAAAGTCACCGTGAAGCCAGAGTAGAGTCACCGCTGAAACAAATTATCCACACTCTCCTAATACAATTGAGAAGCAATTTCACACATGGGGGGTTCCTAATTCAAAGGGAAGACTGGATGTAGCAGAGATAAAGGGTTTTTCTCTGCAGCTAGCGACCTAACCCTTCTTTTTTTGGTTGACGGACTTCTTCTCACTTTTATCTTTCATGCGGTATCCTTTTTATGACGACACTGTGTATGCGGCTATCGATCTTAAGAGAAAATAAATGGCTGTGTTCTTCTTTCATATCCCATAGTGATGAATTCAATTATCTTCATATTAATTGAAGACATGACAAATACAGATAATCGCACTTAGACGTGATGGTGAAATGAATTAATTAAAAAAAAATCCTTTATGGATGACTATTTTCTGAAGTAAAACACCAAAGCATCAGTATCAACAAATTCTTTGGTATGATTTTGCCCACAAAAAAATGCTGATGAAGGTGAAGAAAATGTTTATGTTTAAATTTTTTCTGGGATAAGATTGTTCTCAATTTTTTCTTCCAATTAAGGTACCAGGCGTTTTAATCCTATTAAACCACTTGGATTTTTAAATCTAATTAGGGTTTAGTGTTAGTTACCTGTTTTGAATGACAGAGACTCAAATTCTTAAAGGTTTTTTAAAGTCACATGCAAAGGCCCAATTATATATTTTTTTTATTTACGATTTTTGGGAAAAGAACAAGAAAAACTAAACATTTCTATAAACAATGTAATATGACCAAGGCATGAACATGATCCCTTACTACGATCACACCACAATAAAACCTCCTTGGGAAAAAAAAATTACATTTTGGAGAAATCCCTAAGCTGCCCCTTTAATCACAAATCAATCAGCCTATAGAAAAGCCTCCTTGATGGACATGCCCAACACAATGACATCCAGCCATTGGCCAGACTCCAATGCCAGGCTAGGGCCAACCTCATTAAATGGACCCATTGTCCAGGGGTCTTTTGTTGGTGTTTCTTAGGGGGAGCTGCAATGGGAAAGAAACCTGAAAGCTACCTGGAATTTCGGATAACCCATTACACGTCTGCTCCAATGGGAAATGCATGTAAGTGATCATTACAGGAGAACACCCAACGCATTAAACCAGTGCATGCTGTTCCATTACACGTACATGTATGTGCATCCGCACACAGCACCATTGTTACACATTAAAAATTTATTAATTACAAGACATTTGGACACAAGTATGGGGAGGGATCTACCCATCTGTAAAAATTGGGAAACAGTTTAACGTCAATATTTGGTAATATGTCTCAGCTTTGTAAATTCTTACCAGCGTATTTAACACAATTCAAGATATTCTTCAGCACATTTTAAACTGAATGGATAATTAATCCTTACAAATATGCAGACAAGATAGAGATGTCTGCACTGAGTGGAACTTATTCTGGTCAAATTTATTTACCCAAGTCATTGCAAAAACGTTTTGAACCACCACCGCACACATTTTTATCCCAATTAATCATGTACTACACCATCTTTGGCAGAACCTATTACACCCATGCTGTCTGGAGAAAAGTTTACCTAGCCACATGCCGGGGTTCAAAGGTCGACAACGGGCAAAGGTCAATGATTCCTCAACACTTGGCAGGGGCAAACTCTGGAAGTGGAAAGCCCAGCCACAATATCTCATAAATTACAGCAATGTTTTGACAGCATTGGCAGAGAGGCTGAAGCTTGAAAGGTCACATGGATAACTTCTCTGTGTGAAAGGGCCACCAGATATTTGCTGTGACAAGGACAGCTCACTCCACGTTTTTCAACTACAGGGTGTGAAAACCTAAACATGAAGCTATCACTTCTAATTTTCAGAGTTGAATCGGAAAGCTCAGGTTTTCATTTAAAAAAAAAACCAAACTTTTCTAAGCTCCACAAAAACTTGAAATATTATATTTACTTAGAGTTTTAAAAACTGGTCAGTGTAAGCACTTAATTCAAAGGATGAAATGTCTTTAACCCCAACCCTACATAATACTACAAATTACGACTTGTAGTAAAATGTAGTTATCAGCGCTGCTGCTTGTAAGAGGACATGACCGCATTGTTCTCTGAAGCCATAAAATACAATAGAAAAGACAATGTACCACACAGTGCTGTGGCACTATGAATGCATGGCTTTATTATTCTCTGTGCGAGTAACAATGGAAGTAACCTAGCCAGAAGTAGTAATATGTAGCACTAGGTCCTTGGGGCTCAGGCTATTACTTAGTATTTTGTAGTACTGAGTACTGTAAGCCAAACAATATGCTTGGCGGTTAGGGTTAACAAGTTTTAAGAAGTGGAATTTTGAGGGATCCTTGCGATTAATTTTTTGAGACATGTGCATCTTTGTACTTTTCTTCGATGTACATGTATGAAAATTGTTAGAAATCTTTTTGGAGTTGCATGTGTGTAGGCCTACATAACCAAGTATCTGCTGAAATCTAAGGGGTGAGAACAGTTGCTTTGTGTGACCATTTTTGCTGTTGGTGTGCGGATGTTTGCCAATGTTTGTTCTTCACAGATGGCCTCTGGATTGAAAGGTACTTTAGGTGTAATAGTGCTGTTTAGCATGATGGTAGGGCTCGACCTTAAGTTCGAGATGTTTGGAGTCGGATTTGACACTAAGCAGACTTCCGATCCTTCACCCATCTTTTAAGTCACACGGAGAGCAGTTTTATCCACAGGCGAATGGAGGTAGCTTTCCACTATCTATGGATCACAATGCCTTGTTCCAGCTCACAATCCATGTGGAAACTAAATCACATAAAGAACTGAACATCATGTGTGAGTCGGAGATGGGCTTGATTATTTTGGGAGTTAACCTTATTTGCTGTGCAGTACCAGGTTCATGTTAAACCATCGGTCACTTATAAATGCCGCGCTGAAGTACGTGCACACTTAACATGCCTTCAGTCTAACAGTTCTGCATAAAATTTAGCTTGCAGTACTCAGTACAAAATACAAAGCAGCAGCCTGAGCCTGAAGGACCTAGCACTACAAATTACTACTTCTGGCTAGGGCACCCTCCATTGTTACTTATATAGAGAACAATAAAGCCATGCATTCATAGTGTCACAGCACTGTATGGTACATTGTCCAATCTATTGTATCTTACGGCTTCAGAGAACAATACGGTCATGTCTTCTTACAAGCGACAGGACTGAATACTACATTTTACTTCTACATGTAAGTAGTATTTAGGGCTGTTAGGGTTAACGTTACCAAACCTACATGTACATTACTTCCTACTCTTAGGGACACATACATGTACATACATGCTCTGGTACGTGAGCTACCGTACTGGCATATAAGTAAGTGGCTCCACATGAAAATTAAGTTACAAATTACAAAATGTAGATTAATAATTGACTCAATATTGATCTGCAGAAGGAGAGAACATGTTGGCTTTTCAAAATTGTTCACTCAGCGACAGTGGAATTTTGCCAAGGTTTTAATG